CCACGCCCTGGTGTTTCTTGCCGGCGGTGGGGTTCTGCGGGTGCAGCTGGACGGTGGGCAGCGGCGAGCTCGACTTGTAGTGCCTGGCCAGGTCGGGGCTGCCCGGGCCGCCGTTGACCGAGCGGTACCGCCCCATACCGGGGCTGTCTGAGAGCTTCTCGTTGACGCTGTCGTAGCGCTGCCCATTGGGCTTAGAAGCCTCGACGGTGACAATGCTGCTGTAGAGGGGCTGTTTCCCCTTTTTGCCTTTCTTGTCCTTCTTGGGCTTCTTGGCCTTGTCGTGCTGCTGTGGGGTGAAGAAATCCTCATGGTCTTTCTTTCCGGCCTCGTAGCCGTGTTTGCCCTTGGAGCGGCAGTAGCGGGCCATGACCACCACGAGGATGAGGAGGATGACAGTCATGATGCCGGCCACCACGCCGATGACTATGCTAAGCCGCTGCTTGCTTAGCTCGTAGCTGGGGTCGCCAGCAATGTCCTGGGCCAGGGGCGTGTGAAGGCTGCGGGCCACCTGGCTCTCCACCACGGTGGCGTTGGACAGGCTTTCGTTGACGAAGACATGGAGCAGGGCAGTGGTGGACTGGGGCGGCTGCCCACTGTCATTCACTTGCACCACAAGGCGGTGCAGGCCATAGTGCTTGGGGGCCAGCTTGCCCACTAGTGACACCACGCCACTGGCTGGGTCAATCTCAAAGAGTTTGAAAGGGTTGCCCCCGACGATGCTGTAGTTGAGGTCAGCGTTGAGACCAGTGTCGGCATCGGTGGCGACCACCGTGGCCACCACGGTGCGCATGTTGCTGGAGGGCGGCAGCACAGTGTAGGAGCTGTTGCTAGGGAAGGTGACCGTGGGTGCATTGTCATTCTCATCCATCACAAAGAGGGACACGGTGGCGGTGGCTGAGCGTGGTGGCTCGCCTCCATCCACAGCCTTCACCTTAAAAGTGTAGCTGGTCTGCTGCTCCCGGTCAAAAGAGACGGTGGAGAAAATGGTTCCGGTGTCATTTTCGATGGAGAAGATGCCGGCTGCCTGGTCATGGTCACCGGGCTGGATGGAGAGGCTGAGCTCAGCATTGCGGCCCTTGTCAAAGTCCATCACGGTCACCATGCCCACAGGGCTGTTGGGCTGAAGGTTCTCCTTCACATAGAAAGTGAACACATCCTGCATGAAGCGTGGCTCGTTGTCATTGCGATCTGCCACCCGCACCACCACCGTCGTGGAACCCTGCAGTGATGGCACCCCCTTGTCCCGGGCCGTCACCTGGAACTCATAGGTGTCACGTTGCTCGCGGTCCAGCACCGCCTGCACTGACACATCCCCGGAGTCAGGGTCAATGCTGAAGATGCCACCTGGTGCCTCTGAGGAGAGGGGTGAGGCTTCCAGGGAGTAGGTGATCTCAGCATTCTTGCCACTGTCAGCATCCGTGGCAACCACCGTGGCCACCCTCTCACCAGGCAAGTTGTTCTCTGGGAAGGAGACTTCCAGTACGGCCTGGCTGAACACGGGAGGGTTGTCGTTAGTGTCCCCAACCCGCACCAGCAAGGAGTTGTTGCTGGACAAGCTGGGGCTGCCTGAGTCCACAGCCACGATCACCACATTGTAGTCACGGACAGCCTCATAGTCCAGAGGGGCTGAGGTGTGGAGGAAATACTTGCGCTTGTTTTGTGGCTCCCCTTCACCCTCACTGGCCGGCTTGAGCTGGAAAGGCACGTCACCCACCACAGTGCAGGTCACCACGCCATTTTCACCTTGGTCCCTGTCTGACACCTGCACCAAGGCGATGGGGGTATCCACCAGCACATCCTCGGCCACGCTAGCCACCCCATCACGGAGTGGGATGCGCCCGATTTTCCGGATGTCGATGGTGGGCACGTTGTCGTTCTCGTCGCGGATATTCAGCACGACTGTGGCCTTGTCTGTCTTGGGGGGCTGGCCCCGATCTCGAGCCATGACAGTAAAGCGAAGCTGGTTCACCTCCTCCCGGTCAATGCGGTGCAAGACGCTGAGCCAGCCAGAGGTCTCATCCAGCCGCAGCAGGCGCCTGACGGACTCGGTGGCCCCCGGAGCCCACGCGGCGTCCCGGGGACCCCCCAGCACCCACCATACGCCGCGAGGCACCGAAGCTGCACCCACCCCAGCGCCCCGGAGCCGGCGGTACCTGGCACAGCCTGGGCCGAGCTCGTCTCAGGGCGGCCCCCGCCGCCGCCGCGGGGCAGGGACGGGACTTACAAAGAGTTTGAGGAACTTGAGGATGCGTTTGTGGGTGAGGATGTAGAGTGTGTTCCCCGAGTCGGGGTCGATGACGGGCAAGCGGTGGATCTTGTTCCGGATCAGGGAGGAGACGGCGTCAAAGAGGCTGCGGGGCAGAAGGGAGAGGGGGAACCGCGGCTCCCCCCCGGCCCCCGCCCCCCCCCCCCCGGCGCCGCCCGCCGCCCCCGCCGGGCTCCTGCAGCAGTTCGTAGCGCTCGATGCCGTTGCGGCCGAAGTCCCTGTCGGTGGCGGTGGGGAGCAGGTAGAGGGTCCCCACGGGCCGGTTCTCCTCCACGGTCAGCGTGAGGACAGGGGAAGGGAAGGTGGGGGTGTTGTCGTTGATGTCCAGGATGATGACCCGGCCCTCGAAGAGGTCCACCCAGCTCTGCGAGGGGCCGATGACCGACACCTCGAAGTCCAGGAAGCACTCGTTCTCGTCGAAGATCATCTGGCACTGCGGCAGCTTCTCGCGGTCGATGCGCCGCTCCGTGGTGCTCAGCTCCCCGGTTATGTTATCGATCTTGAGATAGTCGGAGCCCGATTCCAGGCTGAATGTCACCTCTCCGGAGCCCGTCACAATTCCCAGGTCGGAAGCCATGTAGCGTGTGGGGGTTTCGGCGGCTCCCTCCTCGCCCAGCCGGTACCTCAGGAGCTGCTTTGCCGCTGCCAGGCTGACCCAGAGCGGCGGAGGCAGGAGGAGCAAGAAGCAGCAGCAGCAGCAGCAGCAATGCACAAAGCCAAGGAGAGTCCGCATCTTCCTCATCTTCCTGGCACCGAACCCCCCCCCTCCTCTCACTCCCCCCTGCACCCCAATAAACTCCCCTGATAAGCCAACAGAGAGGCTGAGCGTCCGGGTGATCAATTATAAAATCCTTCTGTTCCTGGAAACTTATTGTCTCATGGCTGGTGCAATTGGTGGTCAAAACCCTGCTGCTGGCTCCTCTGCTGCTCTCCCTGACTTCCAGTTATGATATACTTACAGTTCACGGGACAGTGTATTTTGCTTTTTAAAGATTCATCTCGGTAGATAGGATGGGATTTTCCTCCTCCTTCCCCTTCTCCTCCTCCTCTCTGATTTTACTGTAATCACTTTGCAAGGTTTGCAATAAAAGCAGGAGTAGCACTGTGCGATTCGAAGCCCCCCAGGTCGTCTTCTTCGACACTAGAGTTAACTACAATTCACACACTCTCTCTTCTCTCTCTCTCTCTCTCTCTCTCTCAGCCGTTTACGACCAAGGCATTAGCTTTATTCTTCCCCCTCTCTGCACACACAGGAAAAAAAAATGTGATTCGCTTTATTCAAAGGGCTTGTGTCCGGGAAAACTCCAAATCCTCTTAGCAGTGGGCAGTTCTTTAAAAAATAATTTAAAAAGGTAAAGAAAAAAATAAAAATCCCAATAATGTCGGTAGCTGCACAGTTGATAGGCGAAGAACCCCGTGTATTACAGAGCAGTCCACAGAATATCCCCTTTGCTTGGCAGAAAAGCACCCAAATCCATCTTCAGAGATCGCCTAAAATGTTCAGCTCTTTCTCCGGAGCGAATTTTTTTTAACAACTCTGCGCAAGGTCATTAGTCACAAAGCAACGATACAGAAACTGCAGAAGCCGTTTGCCCAGAATTTGCAAGGCTGTAGATATGAACATACACACACAACAGTCCCAAGTTTGTTTTTGCATCCGCAGTTTGTGTGTGTGCCTTACCTGCATTTGCACTGCATGTGTTATAGCAATCTGGATCTGCAGCACTGAGAGCGATTCACAAATGAGATTGCAGTCTCTCTCTCTCTCTCTCTCTCTCTCTCTCCTCTTCCTTCCCGTCCCAATGCAGGTAACCAGATCTGAACTTGATCCTTTCAGTTCAAAGGTTAGCAACAAAACTATGTGTCCAAAGGCGATTATTGGTCTCTCGTAAATACACCCGGAGCGGAACAAGATGTAACTGGATCCCCCACGTGCATTAACACAGATTCTGAATTACATCCATATAAGCGGAATGGCAAAGGGGAGGGGAAAAGATCCGCGACGCGATTAAAAAAAAGAATACAGAGTTCTATTTGCAAATAAAATTATATCAGTCAGTTGTTTCCTGTGATGTGCACCGCCACGGTGGGTGAAATCTGCAGTTGTGTATTCCCTCCTGTGTCTTTCAGAGAAGTGTGGCTCAGGCGCTTTCACGGCAGAGCGGCTTGTGCTTTAAAATGTTGAATGGCAACTGAGAAGCTTCCCACTCGGAAAAAAAAAAAAAAAAGAATCAGTAAACCGGCAAGTTTGCCCAAAGTGGTGGGAGCTGCTGAAGCCTCTCTCCGTAGCTCTTCCCTGACGCTGCAGCAGCAGAGCCGCCTGCGCTACATACACACAGAAAGAGAGAGGGAGAGAGAGAAAGAGGGAGAGCAAAGAGAGAGAGAGCGAGTGTGAGAGAGGGAGGGAGGGAGGGAGGGAGGGAGGGAGGAGGGAGGAGGAGGAGGAGGGAGGACGAGTCAAGCACTGCACTCCA